ATATGGGGAGTTGGTGTAATAAGAAATGAGCGAATGCCTACGAATACATTTAGCACCGAGTATATTCGCCCTAATATTATTTGGTGACGAACACGTCCGCTGTCATCTTCCACACTATCACCTAGTTCCAGACCCTTCGTCAGCCCTTTTCTCAGGACGTCTCTGTACATAGCATCTGGCTTCAAATGTGTGAACACCTTAAAGCATGTTGGATGATGTCGGATGTGCGGAATCAGACAATTTAAAACCCACATTAGGATGTTACTTAACTTAACTAAAAGTAATTGTACTAAGTTACGAATATCAGACGGCGATATCGAACATTTAAGCAAGATACAAGTTTAGAGTACTGCCGGCAAATAATCTGCTGGTTGCTTGCGAGTCCAGTACCGAATGGAATGTATGGTCTCGCTCCCCATTGGTTTGAAAATCACCCCACTTGTTATAACTAGGCAAACAAGGCTCGGTATGTGTGTTTTGTGCAGTGCATATTTCTCGGTTGACTTTTTGCTAATAGCAGTGTTTCATACAGCGAAGTACTGGAGACATTCGCCCAGTGTTAGACACGTGACCTGCTGGGACATGCATAATTTATAATATATTCTCCCGCAACGTCTGTGTCCGCTGGTGTACAGTCTCTTGTTACTTGGTAATAGGACCACCGCATGTTCAGACTCAAATTCTAACTTCAAATTTGTATTTGTATACGTCTTGCAGATCGTTATATGAACCATTTACATAGCACTGGTAACTGCTAACAGTCAGCAACTTTGCATTTTGTAATTGTTAGTTTCGTACGATTTACAGTGTAAAGTGATTATTTACGTAACCAGCATCAATGTAATGGTGAAGTTTTGTATTTTATTTGAGTGACGGACTGATTTATTTAATATTATTTAGACGAGCTTCGGCTTAAGAAAAGGTTATAACTAATTGTCGTCAGATGTTCATCTTGCACATTTGATTTCACAAAATTGAAGGATATTGGAGTGTAGCTTTTACGTATCTCTTTCTGTATATCCAGTGCCATTCTGTATTGAATTCTGGTTGGTTACAGTGTCCGAACTAACTCCGCGGAGCCAGAGGTCTTGTTGAGATGTTAATAAGTTTAGTCGTTCAGTTGGTTAATTGGCCGTCGTATGGAAGTCAAAGGTTCAGGAACACGTTAAAAATAGTTCTCCAGTTGACTCTGCCCTGGGCCAGATGAATTCAGTTCAAATTATCTCACCGCATATGTTTTAGGTTAGTTTTATATCTATGCCTTGACTTCCGAAGTGCTCTCTTCTGTCTTCTAAAATTTTATTTGCATTTCTTATGTTCCATGCGTATGAGCCGGGATAGCTCAGTCAGTATAGTGACTAGCTACGGGCTGGACGACCGGGGTTCGATCCCCGACGGAGGCAGAGGATTTTTCCTC